TTGTGTACTTTCATATGGCTTCTTTGGGGCCGGGCGCACATGTTTCAGATGGATCGTCATGGGCAACTCTAATTAGGCAAGTATGCCACAATGACGTCCATTTCGCAGGTTCTACGAGGTGTCGGTTTTACCTCTGACAATAGATAACACCCGGGGTTATAAATAGTAAGTTACCATTGGTAAATTACTGGGAAAGTTACCAAACTATTTTTAAATCCGAGGTACTATAGTCAATGATGTAGGGTAATGGGCGTTCTTTATCAGTTATAGAACATACTTCATCGCTAAACCACTAGCTGCCCATATGTTGCATTTAATTTTCATCGTACTGTATTTATGTTACGTATTGTATATATGATACGAGCCAAATTGATTTTTAGGTCAAGTCAAACTTGACCCAGGTCAAATTAATCAATTAAAAAATCCTTTCCCGGCATCAACATACCCTGGCCCGCATTAATCCTTAAATTCTTTAGGGGTCACTTTGACTCGGGTCAAATTTAACCAATTTGATCTGTAAAATATGTAGTTAATTATAAATATAGACTGAAAAAAAATTTTTAACCGGAAGCGAAGTGACGGGTAACATCTAGTTTAACTTGAAAACTATAAAATTGGAGTTGAAAAAGATGAACATAGGTCATTTATTATCAAAAATGGAGAGTTTTAGTAAAGTAGCATTAAAAATAGCTATCAACATAATATCTTAGTTGAAAGAACGAACATAAACCATCAGAAATCTGTAGAGATGGACAACAATAGTTGTTGGAAATTGTTCCCGGTATGGAATTGGAGCTGAAAAGGATGAACATAAAATATTCATTTTATTATCAAAAATCTGCTGACGTGGGAAATATTTATATGATGTCTTAATTGAATAGGAATTGAAAAGAATGAACATAAAGTAGACTATCCTATTTTCGCAAATAGGAAATAACATCCGATCATATAATTTTACTACCAAAATGACCGTCTTGATATGGTTCAAACAACACGAAATCATTAAAATCCAATTACGAAATCCAGAGATTATTAAAGTTTAGTACTCAATTTGGATATTTTAGAATAAATTGTGACAGAAATCTGGATTAAATCTATGTACACATCAGTAAAGTTTTCATGATCACTTGATGCGCTATTTAAATCAATCTATACTGTGAAACCGGAATATCGTGACCGATCACGTGAAAAATGCACGAAATGCAATAAGTGCAATAAGTTACATTTGTGATCGGAAATGGTATTTCGGATCCAGAGGGGTAGATGGAAAATAAGGGGAGAAATTAGAAGATATCAAATAAATACTTGTAAATAGCTTTAATTAGTTTTAACAGATACTAAGTGTAAAGTCGCATTTGTGAGCGACGAATTTAGTATTATAAATAAAGACCGAAATGGCGTTTAGGAGCGATATGCTTCGTTTGCTTTATTAAATAACAAGTCCCAATACATTATATCGTCCATAATAAACATTAACACTATTACCATTGTAAACCCCTGTAAACATCGCTGTTCGTTCAAGTTCTTTATTACGTGACTTACCCTACTTGTCTTCGTTGACCCAAAGTAACCGAAAGCCTTAACCACCCACCAGCCAAATCTAACACCCTCTTTCGTAAAGGTTACCTATTGTACAGTACATTACACGAGATTTTGGATTGTGGAGCAACCGAGTCGCAGTTTTCCAAGCACAATAATACGTATGTGATCCTTTATAAAAGTCAATTAGAAAAGATTTTTGTATAACATGTGCTAATTAAATTTAGTGTTATTTGTAAATTTAGGAAATTTTGAATATTTCCATGTGATGGTCGACCATTTTTAATTTGAAAATTTTTTATTTCTTAATCGAAATATGCTATAAGTTTTGTGTCACAAAAGGAAAAAAGGCAGAAGATTCGAATTTATTATCATATCATTATTTTTAATCATGATATTAATATCAGTGATATTTTTAAAACATGTAAAAAAAATCATTTTAGAGCAATATAAAACTGATTTGAAACATTCTGTTTTAAATCATTTGCGATCCATACATAACTAACGTGATCACGATTGCAGTTCAAATTATATCATTTTATTGCTTAACTGATTAACTATACATTTCATAAAAATAATGTGACTCGTTTTTTCAATTTTTCAATTTTTATTTACAATAGCACTAAATCACGCCAGTGGTATTCAACACCACATATGTTTAACAGTTTACTAGTAAAATTTAAGGTAACTATAGTAAAAAATATAAGGTCTAAATTTTGAGTTTTTGGGATGCTGGACATTTTTTCTTAGTACCCTGACATGTGTTAGCTAATACGTACGTTTTTAAGATATAACAACTATGTGTTGAGCACCACTGGTGCAATTTATAAAACCGTTTATCTATTTTTTATTTTATTAAATATTATAAATATGTTAATTTGTTCTATTTTTAACATTTATTTTTTCTCCATCATTTTTATCCGGTGTCACTTAATGATGCCAGAATTGTCGATAGAACTGTCAGTAAAAAAAAAAAAAGAAGCTTACCGACCGACTCAAATTTCAAACTCGATGTAATACAAAGCGAAAATAAACTTTGTGACCTAAGAGCAAATAAAAATGCAAATAAAAAATTAAATTTATTTGAATGATTTGTCTGTATATGAAATATATTAGCAATTGTGACATATAGATGTAGAAATATTAATATAATTTGTGATTATATGGGTATGACTATGTGAAAATATTTAACATCTTATAACCCAAAATCAATGTAGCTGTCTTAAATAACATATTAAATTATAAATTTCAATTAATCTGGATCGCGCTTTCAAAGCGTTTCTATGCTTAAGACACGTTGATTACATGAATTACAATAGGACTGAAGTGCATCCAATTCCTGCTGCTCTACAAACTGCACAATACAAGCACTCTCCGTCAGCCCTGACATACGCACTCGTTAAGCAATGTGAAAGGAATAGATGAGCAATTCCATCTCCATAAGTTTCATGTACAATAATGGTATGTCGAGGGATAGGCTTCATACTTAAAGGATCAAGCTTTTTAAAACTTATTTTCAGTTTACCCACACGGTCCCCTCCTTTGATTTTCTTAAGAGGATCGGGGTTGGTACACAGACAAGCTGCACCTGTGATACCACCCCATATCAAGTCAGCGGCTCGAAGAGGTCCGACCTAATATTTATATCAATATAGTAAAAAAAAAAAAAAAAACTTTAGCAAGATGATACACAATTACTCATTTATGTAATATGTAAAGTACATTACTCGTTTAATTTTGGCTAATGGCACTCCTCTGACTCTCTTAATACTTAAGATTACTTTGAGTCTATTGGTGCATCGTAATAGGTTGCCATGAATGTCTCTTGAAGCGTCTTCTCTTAATTTTATTGTACGTCTTCTTAATGCTTCCGCCCATCCGCTCATACACCAAATTTCCTCTCCTTCATTTAAATGATTTCTTAACACTACTTCGGCAACGATTGAATTTAGTGTTACTCTGCCACCAATGTATTTTCCAATAACTTCTCGTGGTCCTTTAAATCCTCCCGCTTCCATCGCAAAATTTTTGTGTACATTTTCTGTGCTTCCTCGGATTCCTAAACCGATATTGTACACTTCCGATGGATGCTGTCCACGCATCGTGGCTACAACAAGGCGTCCAATTGTCTCGAATATATATGACATTGATAGACCCTCTATTATATCCACCAGACCAATCTCTGATATTCCACACATCTGTGCAAGACCTATAATGCGAGTCACAATCATTAGTGCATTTGGATTGTTACCTATAGCAGCCTCTGCGTTGAGTAAATATGCCATTGATTGATTAAATGATTGTTTGGCACCACTGGAACGCGGGGCGTACCTATTCAGAATAATGAACGATTAGCCTTTTGCTATTAAAAAGACAAAATTTAGATCTATTCTTTCTACTTTGCATTAATGCAGACATTAATTTTCAGGCGAAAATTAGGATATCATTGTTGTTTAATTAGTCACGGACTGCTAAATTTTTACATCACTATTTCGCACAAATACCCACCAACGATTTAGTGCATCACTTGATCTTTGTCTCATACGCCTTGCAAAGTCGGCAGTTTTTGGCCATGTACCTCCAACTCTCTTATCCCACGATTGGTATTTTTTATTCAGCCAGATTTGCACGCGTGTTCTGGTTACTATTGCAATCTCTTCTACATTAAAATTGTTCGTTTGCATGTATGTTCGCACATCTGAATAGGCCATCAAACCGATTTGTTCATTCAATGCCTTGTCGGTAAGTTGAAAACCATCTTTTCCAATAACTGATAAATAACCCTGATTCACAAGCTTTTGAAATTGATCTTTCAGAATACGTTCACAAGTTTTCTTGGCCTTATTATCTAAGTACATGTTTACGCCCATGCGCACGCCACTCTTGATTAAACCACCTGCATGAATGTGATCCATCGTGAGATTTTGAATGTTGGAGAGATTGCGTAGGATTAGTAAAGGAATGAAATGATATTTCTATACACCAGGAATTCAATTTTATAAAGAAACGAGAAGTTTTTTTTATACACTAGGTATTCAATGGAAGTCCATAACAAAATATTAAATATTTTCTATTTGAAAAATACCAATAACTAATCATGAAACAGACAAATATTCAATGAGCAAATGGACATCCGCACATGAGTATGACAAAAATGTCTATGTAATAAGGCGTTTGCTACCACGAAAATTAAAAAAATAATTAAATAATTTATATATTTGTAATCATGACATGTGCCTAATAAGCTTCGGTAGTTTCAGTTTTTTTTTTTTTTCTATTTAAGGAGATGCTTCAAAGCTCGTAATTTTATTAAATAATTTATACTAATCCTTTTTTATCAATAACGGCAAATCAAATTGTTCATAATTATGTTTCACAAAAATTTTAAGGACTAGCAGACGTTTGTGTGTCTAGTAATAGTACCTGATGAATCTATTTTTTTTAAGTAGTGACAAAGAATTAATTCGACCAATTAAATATTAAAATAAAGTGATTGTCAAATTATCATTTTTTTCGTTGTTCAATGTATGAATTGTCAATTCGTTATAAAAAAAAGTTACTGTTTATAAAATTAACAACTCCCGTGATAGTTAACTTTTTTGAATTTATTATTTTGTGTCTAGTAATGCAGACATATTCGAACAATTAAAATCCGAAATACCTCAGCATGAATTATTGCAACACACGTGTAGTAATGCAGCTTGACATTTTATATTCCATATGTCGTATGCTATACCTAACACAGAATGTAATGGGACGTCTCGTTATCATTTGATGCAGACTATAATAATTATTTAATATATGCACATGTAATTATTTGACGTGGGGGTTATCAATTCAAATAAAGCATGCTAATACAAATTGGATTATCGTTCAATTCTCCGAAAGTTAGTTCTTCAACTGGCGACTTACCCGACAACACATAGGGTTAAAGATACATTGATTAGTTGCAGGCATAAATTAGTAAATTGTAATTTTTTAATTAAGAACTAAAATATATGTTATAATATTTGCACATAATTTACAATAAAATTCGAATAATAAGCATTAGATGTTTTGGTGGTGTTTGTTGATGATAAGAAAAAAAAATTGATATCAGTGTTAAACATGTGATCATCTGGTTTTCATGTATCAATTATACATTTGCATGAATAAATAGATTTATGTTTCAGGCTTAAAGTTCCATAACGTTAATGATATTAATAATCCCAAAATGAAAGATCAGAAAAAACTTAAAAATTTAGAGTTTAGAACTAACTTGAAAATAATAGTATTCGAAATAATTCTCTACTAATAGCACAAAATTTACCAATAATGAACGATCTATGATTTTATAAATGACATATTCATAATCATGGGTCCAACGTAACAACCCGTACGTAATTAAGATAGATTTTATAATCACTAACTTAATACAAATATGATTTGGTTTCTTGTAATAATTTCAAAGTAACTTTTCTTGAAATGTTAAATAGAACTTTAAACCTTGGACCTCCCTCAGTACCACTATTAACACTTCACACCACATGAATAACGAAAAATTCCTTTATATTTGGGTCAGCCACAATTAGGATTAGAATTTAGGCAATTCTATAGTAAAGTCGCCTAAAGTAAAGTCGCTCGAGGAAAATGGTTTATTAGTACACGACAAAAAAGACGGGTTTTTTGAATTTTCTTGATCGTGTCACACGAAATTATAATCTTCTATTGGTCAATAATCAAGTTTGGTGAAATTTTATTATGTTGATACTGGGTTAAATGGAATTAAGACAATGTAATGTGAAATTTTTTTTAAAAAAAATCAATCTTTTCTGAAAAACATTATTCTCGAATTTGTCTAAAAAATCACCTTTTGTGTACTAACAAAAAAAGAGATTTTGGTATAATTTTGCCTACTAAACATAACCCTAAAATATCTACAGCAGAGACAGTGCCCGATCCAAAGTGAATCCCTCTCGCCTGTGATCAATTACAAATTAAATTATTTATGTTGG